ACTGCCTGCGGATGCCATTAGCAAGGTTTCGTAAAGATTTATTGTCTCGGTAAATCACATGTGTTCATCTGAAGCAGAGATAAGTTAGCATCCCGTTTTCTTTATAAAAGTAATAATAAGAGGGAGGAAAAGTCCTGTTGACTAAACAAACAATCCTATTAAGAAAACGGTAGTGGAAATAATGCCGAGGCTGATTCACTCTAGAAAGAAATACCAGCATTTTGGCACGCACGGGGTAACGGAATTGCGCTCTGAAATGCAAACAAACGGAACCATGCCCAAATTGGAGAGAGAGGGGGAAAAAAAAGCAGGGAAATTTTCGAGCGCCAACTACTTATTCGCTTCTACAGGAGATGCAAATTCAAATAGCCCTTATTCCGAAGAAATTGGGTTTGCACCAATGCACTTGCGAACACACGCTGTTTACATGCGAGTTGAAAAATAACCTCCAACACTAAAACGGTCGTATGTCACGAAGAAGGGAGAGGATGTTTCTAAAGAAAAATATGATTTTTTCCCACTCATCTCACTTAGTATTCTTTTTAACACATAAATCTGCTTTTTCAACCATCATGCTAGTAGTTTAGTTCTGCACTTCACATTTATAAGTTCACATCAAAACTGGAATTAAACAGAGAGGCAGCGTGGAGAGTAAACTGCAGCTTAAATGAGAAAAACTTCTGTAAGAAAATAAACACTGAAACCTAATGCTCAATCATTTCCCTTAGCAGTAAGAAAAACAGCATTAAATCACCTATCCACGTGGGAAACGGATTTTTTTTTTTTTCTGCTGATCTCTTCCCCCTTTAAAATAAAACAAGATTAAGGGTTTCAATATTGAAATGTTAACCATCCTGATTCGGCGAAAGTTTATGTAAACGGAGCCTCTGCTTTTGTCTCGAAAATCAAACGCCTCTCCGCGCCGAAACGATCCGTCCCCACCGGGGCAGAGATCGCAAACCCTCCTTCTCCCTCTCTGTTCGCGTGAGGAGAATAGGACCCTCAAAATATTCCTCACTAAAAAAGAAAACGAAAAAAAACCCCAAAACAAAACCAACGAAACAAAAAGCTATTTATTGAACCACTTGGGGTTTTGTTGTTGTTGTTGTTGTTTTCGATTTTTTTTTTTTCCCCTCCCTTCACTTTTGGATATCGGCGAGGGTCAGTGAAGAATTACCCCGCGAGTTATAGCGACCGAATCTTTTCTGAAGAAAAATTCTTTTAGTCCTTCGACATCCCGGAGATTTTTCCAGATATTTTTCGAGGCTACGTTACTTGCCATTAACTCTTTAATGTTAAATTACAATTTTAGGATTTTTTTTTAAATTAACATTAACTCATAAGTGAATTTATTAGGAAGTTCTCCTTAAAAAAAACCCAAACAACCCTTCCTTACTGTCCTCAGCGATTCAGCAGATCTTCAGCCTTTCCAAAAGCTGTCTGATCACCGAAAACTACTATGTGTCTTACAGGCTCTGTCCTCCCGAGACAGAAGAGTTTTAGCCCTGAAATGGTGCAAGCTACCTAAGCCGCTGAATGCTTTTCGCCCTTGACAGTTTTAATCTGCTGGAGACCTAGTAAAGTGAAATCAGGGGTAGAAAGAACAACCCAGGCGTTTTAATAGCTTGTGAGAATTACACAGCCATTACGAGAGGGAGCTCGTTGAAAAAACTCTGCTCCATTTATCAAGTTTATTCGGTGCCACCGGTTTGTGTTTAGATTTTTTTGGGGGGAGACGGAAACCGCACCGTGATGATTCTGTGTGTCACTCTCCTGGCATTTTACTCCCAGAAAACTCTCCTGCTTCCAAAATGAACCCGAAATCTACCCACCTTCTCCCTCTCTAGGAACCTTTCAGACGTGAAAATAGGCAGGCAAATGCACACCGACACTTTCCGCCTGTTCCCCTGTCCCCAGCCCCGCGTGTGCGCGGCGATGAGGAGTGTATATTTTTCTGTGCGTGATTATTTACAACCAGCCCCTATGCAAGCACTCTCCGGGCAGATGGAAATTCGCTCTTGTACCGGGGAGAGGGGGTGTGAGTTACCTTGGAAGCGCAGCTCGCTCTTACGGAGGCGACGCTTCCCTGTCCTGACTCCTCCAAGATCTCTTTAAATGTATGACGTGACACTTCGCCGTGCTCCCGAGCCTCCCGCTGCCCACCTCCGGCCCTTTGGCCAACTCACCGGGTCTGTCCCGGTGCTTGTATCGCCTTCCTCCCCCGGGAAAAACAAGCAAACGCACCCCCCATTCAATCCACCCAACATCCCCACCCTGCCTCCATCTTCCAGAGAGGCTTTTCCTTTGGGTGCGTGGTTTCCCTGGCTGCCGCTACCTGTCCTCCCTTCCCAGCGAAGCAACGGCTTCTTTTTCTGTCTGGGGGCACCGGGAGACCAGGATCGCTTCCCTCTTCCTCGCCTCTCCCCACCCCCTCCCGGCAGCCGGACGAGCCGAAAGGGCCGGTGCGCCAGC